CCAGGAGGGCGCTTCACCTTCAAGAGCCACCGGCCATCGACTACGTTCACCCCAGGTGGGGGAGCTGCGTCGACGTAGGTGCCAGTGGATCTCCAGGATGTCATCTTCACGTCCATGGCAGCTATCCACTGGGAGGCACAGGGTCCCAAGGTCGCCTCAGCGTAGGTGCGAGGGGTCGGGATGTGGAAGGCGTCAAGGTCCCCCTCAGTGACTAGTAGAATGGAGAAGAGATGAGGCACGGCCTCAGACAGGAAAGCAAGATCGTACTGCCGATCCTCCAGGAGGTCACTGCCAAGGGCAGGAGCACCTCCGACGGACGGAGGACGTACAGGGTCAGATACCAGAGCGGTGGCGTAGTCAAGGCGGCGGGTAGAGGCGAAGTCAGCGACAGCAGCTACAAGAGCGTCAAGACTCGAAACAGGAACTGACGGGTCGGTAACGAGGGAGGCAAGGACCCAAGGAACAAGAGGACTAGCGGCACAAAGGAAGTCATACAGAGGAGGCGGAACGACAACAAGCGACGACGGGGGAGGCGAGGGGAGGAGGGGAGGACGAGACGCATGGGAACAAAGAAACATCGGGTGAGATCGCTGGATAGGAGAGACAGGATGAGAACGAGAGGGACGACGAGACCAGAAGTGGGACGGGAAGGTCGGGTCAGGAGACACAGGAGGAGACACAGAATGAGAAATTGGGGGGGAAACGAGATAGGGCCGGCGGAGGAAAGATAGGGCCATAGAGAGGCAGGGGAGGCAGCAGGGGGGGGAGGTGCAGGCGGGCGAGCAGGGGACGGAAGGCCGAGCAGGTGAAGGGCGGACACCAGCGGCGACTGCTGCTGCTGCTGCTCCACGCTGACACCAGAACCTCCAGCTGCACCACGGCTACCTCCGGGACACTCAACGCCAACACCCCCAGAGCGAAAACCCGCTAGAACACCGGTGCCACCCCCAGGACTGTCGGGAAAAGCCACGATAGTATTTGCAGGACTAGCACCCCCATAACAAGAACCCCCAGAACAAGAACCCTCTCCAGCACCGATGCCACCTCCAGGACCGTCGAGACAAGCCATGACAGGAACCCCAGGACTAGCTCCATCCACAGCGCCCGCACCCCCAGAGCTCGCGAACGGCTGCTGCTGCTGCTACGGTGGCGGCTGCTACGGCGGCTGCGACGACAATGGCGGCTGCTGCTGAGGCTTCGACAGTGACGGCTGCTACGATGACAGAGGAGGAGACACCGGGGGAGAAACAGGTGGCGAGAAGTGTGCCGCGAGGCCAGTAGAGTCAGTCGACTCCTCGACTGGGACAACCGATAGGAGGGAAGTGACGTGAGATACACCAGACGGAGTAGGACGGGGAGGGAGAGGAGCAGGGGCTACCAAGGGAGTGGGAACCAGAAACAGGGGTGGGGAAACGGTGAGACCTCGGTGGGGAAAGCGGTGGTAGAAGGAGACAGATTTGTCGAAAGTGACGTCACGTGAGGAAAGAAGTGGTGAGATGGCGGGTGGTAAAAGTGCCAGTCAGACGAGTCGAGGGGGAAACCAAGGAAGACACAGGGGACAGTGCGGGCACTGAGCTTGTCTGTGCCAGAGGCAGGAACGTGAGCAAGGCAGCTACAAACGTGGAACACGGACGCGTCACCAGGTAATCCGGTCCAGAGAAGGGTTGGCGAAACCTGCGGCCGCTAGGAGTGCGGTCACAGGTTAAGCTGGTGAGCGGCATAGCGAACAGCGAACGGCCACAGAAAATGGGGTGCACCGACATGGATCATGGAGGTACGAGCCACCTCCATGACCAAACCGATGCGTCGCTCAGAGACCCCATTCTGCTGTGGGGAGTCCGGAAGGGTGTATGACTGGGTGATGCCCTCCGCACGACAGAACTGTCCAAGCCGACCGCAGGCAAACTCGCCGCCACGGTCGGAGTGGAGACACAGCACGCTAAGACCGCGGTGGACGCGCGCAGCTACGACCCACGGGATAAGAACGTCAGGCACATCGACCTTCCGCTCCAAGGGAAACACCGTGGTGTAGCGCATGTTGTCGTCAACAAGCACTAGAATGTAGCGCTCTCGATGTGGCCCAAGGACGGGGGTTGGGCCCCAGACGTCCAGGTGCAGGGTCTGGAGTGGCGCGGTGGTAGGGTGAAACGAGGAGGAGTGAGGAGCACGGCACAGCCGGCTCTCGACGAAGGGCTTGCACGGTAGCGCATGCGAGGGAGGGAGGGCACGGAGCAACGCAGGAAGACCTAGGACAAGACCGTGCTGAGACATGTGACGCAGACGCGGGAGTGCGGGGTGACCTAGGCGGTGGTGCCACAGAAGCGACAGGTGAGTGAGCGACCGACACAAGCAAGCTGCAGCGACCTAGGTAGACGCAGGCACCTGGGGGGACGCCCTCACCAGGGGGGACTCGGTGTCGAGCGTAAATAGGCCAGACACAAGGTCCTGGGGGAACGTGTTGAGGGGGGCACCTGTGGCGGCCTCGGTACAGACGGCGTACCGCTCGTGGCCAAGGAACGTAGTGGTGACGCCAAGGTCCCGAAGCCAGCCAACACCAACTAGGTTCCTTGAGAATGAGGGGATGTGAAGGCCTGTAAGGGAGCGTGAGGGAGCCGCCGCACAGGGAAGGATAGTTGAGCTACTGGCAACTAGCGGACCTGAGGAGGGGTCAGCAAGCGCAATAGCGGCAGGGGCGGCAGTGTGACTGGTACGACAACACACAGTGCTGCAAAAGGGGCCCGTTTGGAGCTGGTACTGGCAACCCACAGCACCGAAGCTGCCACCCGACACTGAGCTGCGAGGGCCGCCATCGCGGACACCACCACCTAAGGCACCGGGCCACCCGAGCGGGAGGCGGCCCCACTGCTGCTGCGAATGCTGCTGCTGCTGCTGCTAGGGCTGCTGCAGCTGTTGCTGACGCTGCTGCTGCTGCTGCTGCTCCTCCAGGGCACCAGGCCCAGTCCCCTCGTCGGAACCACCGTCACCCTTCCCCACCCCCACCCCGACCCCCACCACCCTTCCCTCCGCCACGCCCCCCCTTGGGGTGGCGGCCCCTACCCTGATGCGGCTGCGCGTAGGCCGCAGCAGTAGTCTCAGCAGCAGGGGCTGTCTCAGCGAGAACAATAGAGACGTCAGAGTAAGATCACTGGGAGGGAGCACAGCCCTGAAAGATAGGGATCGCCGCAATATCGCTAGACTGAGCGACAGTGTGCTGGCGGGTCTCCGTCGCGGACAGGGCGGTGACAAAGGCGGTAAGGGTGAGGTTACCTAGGTGCTTACTAAGGAAGTGGTCGCGGGCAGTGACTAGACGGTCTGGAAGGTGCGTGGCAATGAGGTAGAGGGTAGCACAAAGTGGCGGCGGAAAGGCACTGAGCTGAGCCTCAGTGCTAGCGGCACGGTAGCTAGTCTCAAGTGTACGGAGATGAGTGGCAAGGTTGGCGATAGTGGGGAAGGACGCAAGATCGGGGAGCAGCATGGGGAGGATCAGGCGGCCAGCAGAGGCTGAGGCGGTGGTGGAATAGTGAGCGATGACTGCATCTAAGAATTCCTGGGCGTTCGCTACAGTGGTAAAGCGGGGACGCTCAAACAGGGGAAGCGCGTGGCTGATAGCAAGCTGCGCGATGGCGTCGTGCGAGTCCCAGACAGCACAAGCAAGCGCAGCAGCGGAAAAGGCCTCATGCTAAAAGTGTTGCGAGCAGCAGGGAGAGCAGCAGACGCAGTGGGGCGGGGAAGTAGGCCATCGACATGAACAGCCAGGGAGTGACCGTCCTAGCCCTGACCTGTATGGTGGTGGCGACGAGCCACGCCTCGAAGTCGATCGCCCGACCCTCCGTGTCTAGGCGGAGCAGTGAGTCCGCCATTACCACTGCTGCAGTAGGTGACTGCTGCTGACAAGGAGAGGAGGAAAGGCGAAGGACAGGGCGGCGGAGAGTGGTGGAGTGAGGTGGAGTGCGGTGGAGAGCGGTGGAGTGTGGTGGAGGGAGGTGGAGTGCGTTGAAGAGCGGTGGAGACAGCCGGCAGGAGTGCCGACGCAGAGAGAAGCCAAGGCCGGTAGGTCGGGGGCGGCAGAGCGGCACGGCGGCGCAGCGACCCGGTGGCGCAGCTACACGGCGTCACGGCGGCACTGCGGCGCGGCGGTTGCACGGCGCGGGGCCGGTGCAGATTGTGGCCGGAGCAGGTGCCGGTGGAGCTAGGGGCCGGCTAGCTGGGGGCCGGCAAGCACGGGTCTGGCTAGCGTGGGGCCAGCAAGAACGGAGCCAGCGGGCGCGGGGCTGGCGAGGCGTACGGGGCCAGCGGAGCGCACGAGGCTAGCGGGGCTCGATGGGGCTAGCGGGGCGCGAACGGGGCCAGCGGGGCGCGAACGGGGCCAGTGGGGCGTACGGGGGCTAGCGGGGTGCACGGGGCCAGCGGGGCCCAAACGGGGCCAGCGGGGTGCTAAGGGGCCAGCAGGGCGCTAAGGGGCCAGCTGGGCGTACGGGGCCAGCAGGGCGCTAAGGGGTCATCTGAGCGCAAACGGGGCCATCGGGGCGCAAAATGGCCAGCGGGGCGCTTAGGGGCCAGCTGGGCGTACGGGGCCAGCGAAGCGCTAAGGGGCAAGCGGGGTGGTAAGGGACCAGCGGGGCGCTAAGGGCTAGGGCGGAAGCCCGTGGGTGGACCTAACCTAATCTGATACTATCTTAGCGTAGTAGAAGTGACTAGAATCAGGTGGTACAAGTGAATATAGCCGAAGGGGTTGTACTCTATATGGTCATGCACCTAGCTAGCCCATAACATATACAAATTATATACAAAATTGGCTGATCGAGCCCTGGACGGAACCTGAAAAATGGAAGTCGAAATTGCACTCGTCTGATCCTGCGCAAAATTCTCGTCTGAATATTCAGACTTGCGTCTGAAATCTCAGACTCCACTAAAAATTTCGTCTGATGGTCAGACCAAACTTTGAAACCCCGTCTGATTCTCAGACAGCCCTAAATCCTAGCTGAAACCCTGATCCTAACTTAGTCGGTTTGCACAAAATAAATATATACATGACAAGAACTGTGGCAATCAAGCAACAATTGGCACAAACCCTAGTGTAGCAGCTGAAAAGGCAAGGAGAGCAGCACCAATGAAGACCATAGATATGTCAATCACATGACTAAGCTGCTTTTGTTCTTTGGCATCTTCCAGCCCTTTCCTCAACTCAACCTCCTCCATCTCACCCTGTGCACTGAAAACACCTCCGTGGATTTCGACACCGGACGAACCGGTTGTCTCGGTTGATATGGGGGACATTAGCGGCTGCTCAATGCGGAGCTCTCTCGGATTGAGAGGTGAGCGTGTTTCCACAGGTGTGTTGCTTGTATGTGGATGCTTGTGAGAAAAGGAGGAATGCACGGAGTGTTTCGACAGCTGGTGGTTTGAGAGGAATGGGAGAGTGAGTGTGTAGAGTGGGAGCAGACAGATGGATGCGACGACAACGAGGGCTGGAGAATGCCTTGCCAGGAAAGCCTGGGGGAATTGGGTTGTAGGAAGCAGGAGTGGGAGGTGGGGTGAAGGAGTCTGATTGGGGAAAACGAGATGAGTTGGCATACAGGCTTTTGCAGGAAGGGTACAAGGCGATGCACAATTGTAGATAGCTACTTGTCACCAGAATCCACTAATCCCCTTAAATAGTAACTACCGTAATGCAGCCCCATTCCAGCTATTCCTTAGCTTCACACACCAGTACCGGGCAGCACCCACCCCGTAACCCCATCCCATCACCCACCCGTTCACCCACCCCTGCACTCACCCCTGCAGCATGAGCCATGACCAGCATGCCACACGCCACCAGCACCGCCCGCTGCTTCCCCAGCCGCACAGCCAGCGTCGGCACGCCAGCGCTGGCGTCACCAGTGACGTCGGCCACGTCCATGAGCACCTCTCGGTACACCAGCGCCTGGAAGAGGAACAGGAAGGCGCCAGACGTGCGGTAGAGGGCGGGGCGGGAGGCTGGGTGGGGCGTGGGGAGCGGGCAGGGATGGAACACACGACACAGAGGGAGAGGGACAGGGTGAAGGGCTACAGGGGTGATCTGAGCACTGACAAACTGCAACTATTTCTTTCCTGGAAGGATGCATAGTGATGGTGGCACACGTGGCACTAAAATTAGCAGCAACGTGTTGGAGCTGTGATAGTCGAAAGCTGAACCAGCAACCGCTAGAAAGTGACATCTACAACCACGAGAAGACAACAAGTCGTACCACCAGCAGCCAGCGCGCCAGCAAGCAGCGACGATGCGATAATCCCCGCGACCACAACGTTCTTAACGAGAGTGATTCTCTTGAGGAACGGGGTGTAGACGTACGTGGCCACTGCGGCCCCCGCCACGAGCATGCGCAGCGGCGCAGGCTCCAGCTGACATGCGGCGAGGACTATGAGCGAGTAGAGGCAGCCCGCTGCTAGCTCCGCCTGGAAAAGGGTGGGAAGAGGGCGGGTGGGAAGAGGGCGGGTGGGAAGAGAGGTGGTTAAGAAGAATAAGGTGGAGGAGGACTCGGAGCCCTTCTGAGGGAGTGAAATGAGGTGGCGCGCTGCAGGAACTATGAGGGAGCCCCCGCTTCCTTCCCCCCCTCCTCGCACTAACACCACTCACGCACGTCGTGGGGAAGCACGGCGCCCAACTCCCCACCCCTCTCTCTAGCGCTCCCTCACTCACGTCGTGGGGATGCACGGCGCCCGACACGAGCGGCTTGGAGGGCGAGTTGACTCGGTCCGACCCGATCTGCCAGTCGAACACGTCGTTGGCGATCATGGACGCCAGCGCGATGCTTCCGGATAGCGCCGCCACCAGCAGCACCCGCGGAGAGAGCCACGGCGGAAGCGCAGGCAGGGCGGGGAGGGCGGGTGTCGCGGCGGCGGCAGCGGCAGTGGCTGCAGCAGCGGTTGTAGCAGCGCTGGTGGCGGCGGCAGCTGTAGCAGTGGCAGTGGTGATATCAGGGATCATTCCGGCGCTGGATGAGGCGAGGAACGCGCCGAGCACGACCAGCAGCACGGAGGGCAGGAAGTTGTGCGGGCGGGAGAGCGCTAGCAGCCCCGCCAACAGCGTGCGCGCGTGCTGCGCCTTCTCCTCCCACGTCCGCCCGCCCAGCCCCCCCACCAGAATACTACTACTACTAGCACCAGCACTAGCATGAACACTTTCGGGAGCCTCTGACGCCGCGTCTGCCGTCGCGGCGGCGTCAGCGTCGTTTCTACTCGCAGTCTCTGCCGCATCCGTTGCTTCCGTTAGGTTCGCCACTCTACTAGCCGCCGCTTGAGCGTCTGCGGAAACGCGCAGTCGGCGTTTAGGATTAATGGTAGTAGTAGCAACACTGCTTGCATTTCCCGGGATCCTGCTCCGGTAAAGGTGGCGGAGCGAGCCGCCGATGCTGATCGAGCCGAGTCCGCCGCCGCAGCCAATGCTGGGTGCGGTCCCTCCGTGAAGGATGCACGGCGGCTGCAGTCGACTGCCAATGGCTGACACGGTGACAGTGCCAGTGGCCATGGCAGAGCGAGCTGATGCCTCGAACGGCGCGTTGTTGGGACGTCTATCCCACCCGAAGAACATCACTGCGGCGGCGGAGCGTGCCGCGGCCATATCTGCTCTGGCAGCAGACTGTATGAGGTCACCGTCAGACCACAGTCGCGTTGAGCTCCCTCTGAATGGATCCCTGCGGCAGCGTCGCGGCGGCAGTGTAAAGCTAGTACTTTCTCAACTCGGAGTTGCTGTTGGATTGTAGTCACATCGCTCCGCTCGGGCCGTCACCGTGCCTTCAAAAGAGGCTTTTTTCTATCCCTTTTAAGATTTAAAAAAATAAATAAATAAGTCTACCTTTTCTCTCTTTAGAAGGAGTTCTCTCAGCTCTGCGAGTTCGCACTCGTTGAAGTACGTTCTTTTGCGAGGCCGGAGGCAACAGCGGCACCCACTAGGGAGGCCCGCCGAAAAGCACGATGGAAAGGGCTTGCGTCGCAGGGAATGCTAGCAAGGCAACGCGATACCTGTAGGAAGTGCTGCCTGGCAGGGAATGCTAATAGCTGGCAACGCTAGCAGGCAATTATACCAGGCGCCCCTTATTTTCAGACTACTAGTGCTGTGGAGCTCTGACGGACAGTAGTAGAGAGGGGAGGAATGTGTGGGGTGACTGAAGTTGCGAGTGCATCCACTGAGTTGGAACTTCTTGAGATTGTGGGAGCGTTGCGCGAAAATACACCTAACCCGCGGTAATTTCACACCCTGAAAATGGATAGCAAACGTTTGGCGTATCCTGACGGTGTGAAGTTACTGGGGCGCGAAACGCCCCAGTATCTTCACAGGGGAAATCCACCGAACCAAAAAAGGTGCCACGCTGTCGCAACCGAGGCTCCCCTGGTCAAAATGTCGAGCTGGGTTGGAATTTCAATGCACCGCCCATATTTCGTGCGTTCATTGGGTGTATTTTGCTCGAGCCAATTAGAAAGCATGCTGCTGATTTCATTTGAATTGGTCAACTCCGATGTGGCGGATCTACAGTACTGTCGGTGCTTCCAGAAGCGAGTTTCCTTTCTGCTCCCCCTGTTGACGCGCTCCTGTGCGCAGAGCCACAAAAATTGATAGGTCGTCACCAATTCTGAGCCTATTCAGGTGGCTCTTTCTCTCGCGGGCCTGGGGCCGCCCATTTCAGTGCGCCCAAAACTGTTGAAGCTTGACCGCCCCACTACGCGACATAGGGTGTGAAAATATTAGGTGTGAAATTACCGCGGGTTAGGTGTATGAGCTTTATTTAGGGTTGCTGGATACCCGCGACGCGACGAGCAGGATCGTGAAATTGTGACCGTCGTGAAAGTGAGAGCGTTTATCTATTTTCCTCAAAACCTGCTCCGACTGAGAGCGTAGTGCGGGGGTTACGCTTCGTCTCAGAATCAGCGCTTCCTAGGAAACGCCAGCAGAGGAGAGGATACAAAGAATGTATAAATGGCAAAACTAGTAAAACGTGCACAAAGCAGGACTTCATATTATAGACTGAATAAACAAAAACGAGGGTTACCGCGAAATCAAACCCAAGACCTCAGCTCAATTGCCCCTGATGTCTCCACGCGGCTTGATGCTTCGAGAACTTGCCGACCAGATCGTCACTTACTTGAAAGTCCATGTCACCAGGGCGTGGAACTGTCGTGGCTTGATCAGGACAACACGTTTGCTTGCGTGATGGATTTGCACGCAATATTATCACTTCAAAGAACACCAGCTCACAGTGGTGGCTAAACGAACAACATATTTCAAAACAATGGCTCCTTAGTTCTGGTACAAGACACTCAATTTAATGCAAGAAAACCAAATCCAGGCACACGTGTCCTCCATGAATAAGTCATGGCTATGAGCAGCAAAGTGAACTAGATAGACAATGAATGCCCTTCCCTACATCAGACACTTTCTATGGACGTCTAAACCCGAACTCTTTTCTGCGACAAAGATCTTCCTGGAAGCCACCATGCTATGCCTAAAAAGGCCTCAAACCCCCTCCACCTTGCCCTCTACCCAGTGTTCTGCATGCCAGCAGCAATCCCCTTCATTGTAATGATTAAAGTGTCTTCCAGCCCTGGAGGATACACACTGGACGGGTTGAGTGAAGTGACTTGTGCCGTCCGGCCGGGGGTCAGGTGCTTCTTCAGGCTTGAACCACCTTTCTCCAATTCTCCTTGCCCTTCAGCAGCAGCAGCAGCAGCAGCAGCAGCAGCGCGCATGCGCTTGAGTGTGAGCACTTGCATGACATTGAGCGGGGTGATGTACGGCTCTCGCACTAGCAGACGCTGGCGGAGCGTGGGGTTGCTCTCCAGGGGGACAAGTTGACCACAGATCTGGGAACAGGAACAGGAACAGGGAGAGGAAGGAGTCAAGAAGGCACGAGGGCAGGAATGTAAGAAAGTAAGAAGGTAAGGAGGTAAGACAGCATGGAAGTGGAGCAGGGCAGGTGAGGAGGGAGTAGGCACGAAAAACGTAGAGGAGGCTGAGGAGTACTGAGGCGAAAATGTGCACAGGTAAACACAATGCAGCACACACAGCTTCAACCATGATGAGTATAAGGTACTCTTGAGAGGGAGAGGGGGGGAGAAAGGGGGAGAGAGGAGCAGACAGCGAGTGAGCAATCTCCATACCAGCAGCACAAAGTTCTTGCTCTCCTCATATTTCTGCAGCAGCTCATCCCCCAGCTGCTGCAGGTCGGGCGGGGCGAGCTCTTGCTGGTAGAGGCGGGCGACGCGGGGGTCGCCCTTGGCGAAAACCATTTGGAGGAGGTCGAGGGTGACGCGGAAGAACGGCCACTGCTGGTACATGCGCTGCAGCTCGTCCAGCGCATGCGGGTCCTCCTCCACCACGCCGCGCAGCGCCGCTGCCAGCCCCAGCCACACAGGCAGGTGGAAGCGCGTCTGCGTCCACGCAAAGATCCACGGGATGGCGCGCAGCGTCTCCACTCCGCCGCCCGCGCGGCGCTTGCTGGGGCGGCTGCCGATGTTCATGCGGGCGAACTCGGTCTCGGGGGTCACGGCGCGGAACAGCTCCACGAACCTCGGGTGCTGGAACACCACGGAGCGGTACTCCGCGGTGGACAGCGGTGCCATGCGCTCCATGAGTGCCTCCCACTGCGGCAGCGGCGCGCGCGGCGGGTTGAGGGTGTGGTCGAGCGTGGCGGCGGTGAAGCGCTGCAGCGTGCGGAAGCAGAGGTGCTCCTCGCCGAACGACTGCTCGATCACCTCGCCCTGCACCGTCACTCGCAGCCGCCCGTTCACCGTGCCCGGCGGCTGCGAAAGAATGGCCAGATGCGTGGGCCCGCCCCCGCGCCCCACCGTGCCCCCCCTGCCATGGAAGATGCTCAGCTGCACGCCGTGCGCGCACGCCACCTCCACCACGCGCGCCTGCGCCTTGTACAGGGCCCACGCCGCGCCCAGGCGCCCCGCGTCCTTGCCCGAGTCGGAGTACCCGATCATGATCTCCTGCACACCGCCCTCCAGCGACGCGCGGTACAGCGGCAGGCTGAAGAGCTGCTCCAGCACGGCGGGCGCATTGCTCAGGTCGTCCAGCCGCTCAAACAGCGGCACCACGCGCAGCGGCCGCTTCACCCCCGCGGCGCGCTGCAGCAGCTGCACCTCGAGTACGTGCGACGCGCTGGTGGCCATGGAGATGACGTACGCGCCCAGCGAGTCGCGCGGCAGCCCTGCCAGCGTGCGGAACGTGGCCAGCACCTCGCGCACCTCCCCGCTAGCCCCCTCCAGCAGGTCCTCCCCAAACAGCGGGCGGCGGCTCTGCAGCTCGTGCGTGAGCCAGTCCAGGCGCTGCTGCTCCGGCCACTGGCTGTACGCGCCCTGCCCCAGGTGCGCCGTGATGGTGTCCAGCGCCTCCGTGTGCCGCGCGCCCTCCTGCCGAATGTCCAGCCGCACCAGCGACAGGCCAAAACACGCCACCTGCCGCACACAGTCCAGCAGCGCACTGTCAGCATTTTCAGAGCAAAAAAAGGCCGGGAGGCTAGGGGAGGAGAACACGAAGGCAGTAATATGGGGTAGGTGGGGGCAATGAGCCCACCTGGCGCAAACAGTCCAGCAAAGCGCCGTCAGCCAGGGGCTGGTCGCCAACCGAGCAGAGGGACTTGTAGCAGAGCTCCAGGGGCTCCATGAGCTGTTCTGCGGTAGTGTAGATGTCATCCTCGTTATAGTCGGAGCGGCCCTTGGAGATAATCTGCTGGATGTGGTCGCGGGTGTTCCAAAGCTTGTCCCGGACCTCTCCGAGGATCACGCGGTATGGCTCGGTTTCAGGAATGCCGCGCCAGAACTCTGAAGGGTGTGGGAAAATGGGGGGAGGAGGGAGGAGACGAGGAAAGGGAAGGTAGGGTAAACATGATGCTTGCAACATCGGCTTAAGGGGTCGATGTAGCTTGCTTTTGTGCAGGTGGAAAGAACAAACAGACATGAATAATTTCTCACCAATGTAGTGGTTGGTGTGGCGCTTGACACTGGAGCGCACGGCTGCTGCACGTTCCTTGAGCTCCTCACTCGCTCGCCACATGGACAACTGCAGGGCAATGCAAAGCCAGGCAGGCAGAAACAGAAGGGAGAGATGCTGTGTGAGGACAAGAACGAAGGAGCATGCAACAGCAGATGTGGTGAAAGAAACTTGTGAAATATAGTGTTCATAGTTCATTGTGGACAAAATAACGATTTGAAGACAAGCCTTTGTAAGCAGAGTTCCTCAAAATGATGATGGATAGCGTTGTGAACCTTACGTCAAACATAAGGCTTTCGATTTGAGAGATGTAGAGGTTGGTGACCATTAGGCGAGACAGGTACACGACGTCCTTGGTAACTTCAGAAGTCACTCGGGGGTTTCCTGTAGAGAGGATAGAGAAGGACGACGAAGGATTTATTAGCCAATGAGGGATCGCGAATTTACCCCCGGTGACTACCCATTCGCCCCCTAAGTATCGCACAGCGTAACAAGATCCAAGTAACTGCGGGTTGCAGCACGGTGCTGCCGGGTTCGGAACATTTTGTTGCGTTTGAGTTTCAATCGGGAATTTCAGCCTAGATAATCCAACCTAGATATCCCCGCCATGGGCGCTCACCGTCGCGGTCGCCGCCCATCCAGGAGGAGAAGACGATGATGGGGAGGCGGTACGGCAGGCGGTGCTGCACGCCCAGGTGGCGCAGCGCCGTGTCGACGCGGCGCAGGAAGCGTGGCACGCCCGGCCAGATGGTCTCGTGCATGTAGCTCATGCCGCCCCGCATCTCGTCCTGCGGCGACGGCTGCGACCGCCGAATCTCGTCCGTCCGCCACGCCGCCTGGATCTGCGGGAAACAAAGAGGGGGCCAATTGAGAAACAAATTAAGGTTGGCGAGATTTCCAGTATCCGTCATTCAACATACAACACCAGGGAACATGGCATCGCCGACTCGGAATCCACATACCTCTCGTTTGATCGCCTCGGTGAGCTCCAGATCCCTCTCGGGCGTGAGCTTCTTCTGCTCGTGGCGCTGCGTCAGCAGGTTGCGGATGCGTGCGTGCTTCTGCAGTAGCGACCGTCGGATGGACTGCGTGGGATGCGCGGTGAGTACCAGATCCACGCGCTGGTTGCACAGCGCCTCGTAGATCTCCTCCGGGGTCTTCCCCGCCGCGCGCAGCTTTTCGAACGTTTCGGTAATAGACGACTCGGTAAGCGAGCTGCCCTCGTCCTCGATCGCGCCGTGGCGCTGCGACTTGAGCGTCTTGCGGCGGGCCATCTGAATTTCCTCTGCGAGAGTTGGCAGAGAGGAATTGGTGCGGAAAGGAAAGGGTGAGAAAGAGGTGAAGGGAGGGGGGGGGGAGGAGGGGGTGGGGGGGAGGGTGAGAACGACAACGAGAGGCCTTCACTTAATCCGGGATAACGCAGGACGTTGGCGCATAGCTTTGCCGATGGTACAAGTAGGTCGACGTGAGGAAGAGTGCGATGGTAGTGTTTACTCGAAAAGCCATCATGACCATGCCGCGTGGGATTGCTGGATGGGCACAACTGTAGCACACATTGCTCGTTTACTGCTTATAATTAGTTCTTAACGCAGGCGAATAGAGTCACGCCAAAAGCGAGGCGAAGGTACTAGTCCAAAATGGCATCTACCAGCGGCGATGTTCCCCAGGGTGAGCACGTGGCATGCGGCCTGCCAGCGATGTTCCCGAGGGTGAGCCTGTGGCCTACCAGCAATGAAATCGACGGTGAGCCTGTGTGCTCACCAGCGATGTTCCCTAGGGTGAGCATGTGCGAGAAGGCGGAGGCGCAGAGGATGGACTCGGCGGGGTCGAGCGACTCGATCACCTCCTGCAGCTTCGCCAGGTCCGCGGGGTTGTTGCTCTTGTTGTACTGCGCCGACAGCCCATAGCACGTCTCCACCTGGGGGGAGGGGGGGGGAGGGGGGGGGGGGAGGGGGGAAGGAGTGGGGGAGGAGAGAGAGGAACGGGAGAACAGGGGAAGGGATGATGAAGGGGGAAGGAATGGCGGCGAGGGTTGTGGGATCCATTAGATCAGGAGAGCCAGGAGAATCAGTGGGCAACACAGAGAAGCGAGGATCGGAAGCCATGAGTCATGAACCAGGGAGATTTAAAGCCGCAGAGGACCACGGGAAACTTGGCAACTCGTCATGTGATCATGTTAGAACTCATCGCACCAATTCGCCCTGCCGATTCCCGAACCCTTATCTATGGCTTGCTACAAGACCTCCCAGCACACCATCTCTCCGCTTACCGCCGGCACGCTATCATCACTCTCCGCTTACCGCCTGCGCGAGCTCGTCGCCCTCGAGCTTCAGAATGTCGAGCAGCGAGTTAACGAGCAGCTCCTCGTCCTCCACGAGAATGTCGTCTTCCGCCACCTGCTCGTTCACCTGCTCCAGCGCCTCGTGCACCGACAGATGCTCGGGGAACTCGTGGTGCACCGCCGCCTTGCATGCGGCGATTCCGTTGCTTTCCGCACCGCCAGCGGCCGCCGCCGCGTGGCTGGTGAGGAAGCCGTTGGCGTTTCCATGGCTGGGTTCGGATGTGGGGAGGGTCGCTGTATCCGTGGATTGGCCCATTGGAGCGGACAGAGAGGGGACTCCCTAACCTCGGAGCTTGGAAGCGGAGATTATCGCTGGGTGGCGTGACTCGGTGAAAAGTGACGGTTAGGAAGCGTCCAGGACGGGCGTGAATGGCTGAAATGCTTCTCCCGACTTCTGATTACTGGGAAGAGTGCCTCTAGAGCTTTATCCTTTCGCTGAAAATCGGGCTGGAAGGAACAGCTTAGCGGGGGTACGGCAAGGGTGTCCGGTTGGTGAGGCCGTACCGCCATGTTACTGTACTGTACTCGCTTGGCGTTCGCGCCCAGCAGGATACCGTCACAGCCCGCCCCTGTGCCGTGAATGTCGCTCAAATCAATTCTGGCTGACTGCATCGAGAGACACCACAGTCTGGGAAGAAATGAACTTGGAAGAGAAAGCCGATGGCGGCGCGGCGAACGGACTCTGCTGGGGTAACGTTGACTAAACCGGCGTAATCGGAAGTCCCTAGGTGAGTACGTCAGCAGCAGAAACACGTGGTGGAGGGGAGGGATGGAGATTACTGCCAGGTACATCCACGACCAGCAGTGTGTGGCTAGGATTGAGTCATGATTCGCCACGATTGTCACCCGAGTGCATCCAGCCGTCCATCCGACCATCTGACCACCATGTGGTATGGCGGTTTGTCCCGGAGAGCGGGCCTGTTCCAAACGCGGATGGAGGTGGCTAGGAAGTTGAGCCAGGGTGGGTGGTTCCACGCGAACTGTGGCTCTGGGAAAGTAGCCGAGTACCTGGACATGGGGTTCTGTTTTTTGGGTTGTGGAGCAACCTATTACGATCGATCAGACGAGATTTTTGGGTTGCGGAGCAACCTATTACGATGGATCGGACGAGATTTTTTTTTTTTTTTCAAGTTTAATTAACAAATTTGTGAAAACTGTATTATATTGAAGTAAAAGATGGAGATTAGTGACCAATATAGTAGGAATCATTCATTTTAACTATATGGATTCATTAGATTGATTATGTAAATGGTTGGATGAAATTGCCATAATAGAACTACGTATAATGCTATACTTCAAAATAGACAATAATGGAAAACAAATGTGCTCATATTTTCTATCATTTCTTGTTTTGTGTTTTAAGAAAAAAAGGAAAGAAAAAAGCTTTCTTCCCAAGCTATCTGAATGGGATTTTCTTATATATCTGTAATATAGTGTAATGTATTAATTACACTATATTATTGGTAAACTTTTTATGGAAAACAAAATTTGTAAATGTTTTCAATAATTGCCTATCGCGTATTTTTGTCGACGACAAAAATAGGCAATCGCTTTCCCAGCTAAGTGGGGGAAATCGAAAGCCTAGTGGACAAGTCACATGACATATTTTGAGGCAATACATTTCATGATAACAACAAAATGGATTGCACTTATCATCTCCAGTTCAAATGACTGCACTCAAGGTGGAAAGTCAAAGAACCTTACTTGAGACGATCAACACAACCCAATTTATTGCATACACAAAATGCACCACTCGTCTATCAAACTAACAGTAGCAAACAGGAAAAATGTCACATCCCAACACAAAGCAAAAGAAAAAGAGCACTGATACAATACATGGACTCTAAGATGCATCAGGAGACAGAAATATCGCACGAAGCATAAAACATTTAAAGCATGTTATTCTATATAAAAAAACACTGTTGGAAACCAGAGATCTCTTCCAGACGCATTCCTGATGCACCAACACACGTAGAAAAAAGAAGAAGAAAAGAAAAGAAGTTAGTTGAGAAAACAAGACATGGTAGAATACGGGAAATGAAAACGAGGATTGAAGAAATGAACGACATATCATACAGGGAAGAAAGAGAACGAAAGAGAGAGAGAGAGAGAGAGAGAGAGAGAGAGAGAGAGAGAGAGAGAGAGAGAGAGAGAGAGAGAGAGAGAGAGAGAAAGAGAGAGAGAGAGAGAGAGAGAGAGAGAGAGAGAGAGAGAGAAGAGAGGGAGAGAACCAACGAG